AAATCTGGAACAAACTTCCAGAAAACATCAAAACAGCTGAAATCAAGACTAAAAGCTTTCGCCTGTTGAGAGTTGCCTTTGAAACATAATAACTAGAAAATATAGTAACTCTTTTCTGTATGACAACTTTTTATAACTTTTCCACTATAATGTAAAGTTACTTTTTGTTTATTATGTAAAACTTTAAACTGCTCTGTTGCTGTAATGTCTTGTACTAATTAACTTGATAACTTTGAGTTATGCACTCCTCCATGATGCTGTTTTCTGCTCTGAACTGGATCCTGAACTGGATCCTGAACTGGATCCTGCTCCAGGTCTGTAGAAACCTCCAGACTGAGGTCAGATGTAGTGAATGAAGGAGTGAACGTTTCCTATGAAGCAGTGAAGTGTTGGTCCTGAACTCAGCGGCTTGTTGCCATGTTGGAGTGGCTCCTGTTAGAGAGCAGCGGTTCTGGAACCGTTCAGGTCCAGATCTGGTTTTGAGGAAGTTGTTCTGCTTAGAGTCAGAAGGAGCAGTAAAAACGTTCAGGCTGAACATCAGCATCACCTGAGGAGCAGACCAGCAGCTGGTACCATGGTAACAGCAGCATGATTTCACAGCAGAACCTCAGAGTACAGAAACTGGACCAGTTAACCCAGAACCAGCAGCACTTAGGCAGGTCCATTAAAACCTGCAGTTTGTATCTGAGAGACTGGAGCTGCTGTTTCTGGAACGTTCTAACTTCTCACCTTCAGATGGACGGAGGACTTCACTCGGGTTCAGATCCCGGGTCACAGGAGGCAGGATGAAGAACAGTCTGATCAGAGAGAAAGAACCAAAACAAGAGAATGAAGAACTGAAAAGAAAACATAAGGTTCTGCAGCTCCTGAGCTTCCATCTTTAATCCAAACATCTGGATCAGAACACAGACTTCTCCTTAATTATCAGATTATTGTTGACTTTATTATTATTTCTGCTCTGTTCTGTTCCTGATCACTGACCTCCATCGTGTGTTTCCAGAGAGTCTGGGAGGATCAGGGAGTGGTGACTGAGCTCAGAGCTACAGAATCAGAACCAACAGGTCCATCCAGATTCCAGCAAACACAACAAACATTTACCTTCCTGCTTCTCTGTCAGCCACTAAATATTTCTGGAAAGGTATTTGTTGTTTATCTGATCACCTTCCTCCAGAATCTGCAGCATAAAATGAACTGATTCAACAGATTCAACATCAACGACATTCATGTTTGTTTTCCTCCTGCTTTGTTGGTGGAATCAGAAAGTTTGCTGGAAACACAATCCAACATGGCTACACATCGTTCTAGAACGGGGAAATTAAAACCTGTTAAGTTGTTGGTTATTGTTTACTGCCACAATGTTATCTGAGGTTTTGACTAATATACGAGTCGTCTAGAAATAATTCAACATTAAAAAGAGCAACAAGAATCATCCTTGATGCTGGGCTCAGAAATCAGATAAATCCACTGTTTTTAAAAACCAAAATACTCCAAATGTAGACATTTAGTTGACTTCAAAACTCTACAAATATTAAATAAAGCAAAACAAAGTTTACAACTGGAAAACATTCAGTGAAAGAGAAGAAGGAAATGAATCTAAGAAACAAATATCTGTAGCTGAAATGAAACAAATGTTTGTTAGAAAGTGAAGCAGATTATTTTTACATCAATTTTTTTAAAAAACTAAAACTCAACACATTTAAACAATATGCTGTCTCATAACTTGTACACCTAAATATATTGCAACAGAATAAATTCTTTTTAGAATAATTTACTGTATTTTTCACAAATTATTTGTAAGAAAGGAAAGTTTTACTACAGTCTGCTCCCTCAGAGCAACTTTTCTTCTTTATTGATTCATTGATTCATGTGCCTGTGTGTTTATATGTATATATGTACATATACATAAAGAACTGTCTGATGAGATGATGCCACCAGATCAAACTGACAGCCTCACTGGACAGAAGTTGGACAGTTTTCAGATGCAGCCGAACATGAAGAGGCATCAAATTAATTATTTACTGATAAAAGCCTCTGAAGAAAAGAGAAACATTTAAAAATCCTCCTGGATCAGAACCAGGACTGATTTGAATCCAATGGGAGTAACTTTATCTAGAAATAGTTTTCACCCCCGTCTTCTGACACCTCATATCTCAGCTGGTCACAACTGGTGAAGACCTACTGGTCCCAGTTTGACTCTACAGTGTATTAAACGAGCTATTGCTTGAGTTACTTTTTTGAAAATAGCATTTCAGGAGTATTTTTATGATACTGTTCTTTGTACTTTTATTTAGAAGTATCTGATGTTGAAGTAGTGCGACTCTAGAGAATCATTTCTGGCTGATCTGCCCACCTGTGCCGTTCATTTCATTTCTCCAATCTGAAAATAACCAGAAACACTGACTGAGCTCAGAGCTACAGAACCAGGACCAATGGGTCGGTCCAGATTCCTGCGACAGAACAAGTGTTTACCTTCTGCTCTAAAGGGGCGGGGCTTAAACAACTGATGAGGATTTTGCAGACATGAATCATAATCAGAGACCCACTGGTGTCCCAGTCTGTTTACTGGGAGAGTTTGAGATGAGGCCTCTTGTGATGTCATCAGAGGCTCGTTATGAAACAACTGAACAGAAACACGGAGCAGGACGTGTTGCTCTGCAGGAGACAGACTAGAATTTATTCACAGGTCAGCTCAGCAACAGGAAACTGCAGCTTTAAGAGAGTTTGTTGGTTCTGATTAACAGGAAACCAGAATCCGACCAGAACCACAGCTCCATGAAGCCAGCTACTTGGTTCTGAAGGAGAACCGGGCCGAGTTCTGGTCCCTCCACAGAAAGAAAACCCAGAGAGAGGAAAACAAGAAAAAGAGAAAACTCACCCAATCCAAACTCTGCTCTGCTGCTAACTGGAGTCTGAACCAGTTAGTCCTGATCCTGAGCCGTACCTGAGGCTCCGCCCCCTTCAAGGTGACGTTAAGCATCTGGAAGCATCTTAGACTCCTCCCCCTTTCAGGTGACAATAAACACTTTTACTTTCATGTTTCTCTTTGTATCACCAGTGAGTGGAGCTGTAAAACTTTAGGTCACATTTGAACTTTTCAGGTTTTTCTCAGTTTTCAGCTCTTTTCCAGCCAACATTTTATTGCAGGAAATCATTTCAAGAAGAAACTAGAAGATTCAGGATTCAGTTTTATCAAGAAAAAAAATCAACTTACATTAACGTTGTTAAATCAGAGTCACTACAGGATTCATAACTGAATATATAACTAAACTTCAATAAAAATCTTCTCAAAAAGATGAACTGTGGGAAATTTTGAGAATCACGGCCTGAAAATATAATTATTAATATATACATGTCAAACATTAAAACAATTTTTATAATAAAACACTCAGAAAGGTAATAAATGTACCCTAATTGTTTGAAGCAGGTTAACGAAGAAGCCTAGAAAAAAACATAACAGCATTTATCATTTAAATGGTTCTTATGTGTTTTATTTAAACATCTTCAGTCTGAATAACATAAAAATAAACTTTTGCCTTTATTAGAAGCTTAAAAATCTCAGATTAATTTAACAGGATGATTCTGTTTTAACAAGCTGTCAAACTAAAACTGAAAAAAAAAAAGTTCTGTTGAACATTTTATAAAACTTTATTGAATTATCATTAAACACAGAGGAACCCAAATTACATTAGAAGAATTATAAAAAAAAACAAAACAATCATGACCCAATCAGCACATTATCCCAGTGATTCTCCGAGGTCTCAGTAAATCAGTAAATCTCAGTAAAGAGTCTGATGAGACACATCGAGTCCTAAAACTCAAAATATAAAATATGGGGTTAAAAAAGTAAAAACCACAATAAACTGAGAAAAATTAAATCTGAGAATCAATGATGATGCAAAACTTCATTATTTAGATTTTAGAATGAACATAAAAAGAAAAAAAAACATGTAAAATCTTTTTTCTCAAATAAAATGATGGATGGTCAGAGATGGAACCGGGTCAGAGATAGATCTGGGTCAGAGATGGGGCTGCTGTTAATGTTATTTAAATACTTTTCTGAACTGAAAATAATTTCAGTTTGAAATGAGTACAATTTAATTTGCTGCTCTTGAATAACAGTTTATTGTTTCAGAGAGAAAAATTTATTATTTCAAATGAAAGCTAACAGAGGAATTCGTTTCTATGGCTTTTACTGTGAAAGTACCAGCGGATGGTAACTACAGCTACTTGATTTTGTTCAAGTAGCTGTAGTTACCATCTGGGTCCACTAGAGGGCAAAATCCGCCCTGCTGTAATAGTTCAGTTCGTGACTGTAGCTAAAACATCAACATCATTCTGATTCCAGGACAATTTAACTTTTCTTAAATATTTTCCTACCTTCAGACCGGAAGCTCAGCATCTTAGCGTATAAACCAGAGCTGTAGAGCTTTGATTCAGCTCTGTTGGAGCTGAAGCTCCAGTTTAGGAGCCACAGCTCCCCTGAAGCCGCTGCTCGTCTGTTAGCATCGTTAGCTCCGCTCAGAGTCTCTGCGGGATGTTTTCATCTGTGGAGCCGCTTCTAGTTCACACTGACAGATAAAACACAATTTCCAGAAACCAGCTGCAGCTCCACAATCTCGCCTCTATTTTCAGAAAGGGGTATTTCCTCCATCTGGTGGCCATAGTGGGAACTACAGCCCTGATCATGCATTATTTACAGTTAATATTCACTTAATGTGGAGTTTAGAGAAAACAAACAGTCTTCCTGAATCATATTGACAGTTTACTAACTCAAATAATATTCTGACATATTTTAATTCAATGTTTGGAGTTATATATGTAATAAAAACTGTTTTAAATCATCCTGTTGCAGTTTCATGTTGGAGACGTGAGGTTTTGCTTCTCCTGTCAGGGATTTGATGGGAAACGAGTCACAACATTCAGATGATTTCGTCAAAATGGAAAATAAAACTGTTCTCCTTGAACTACAGCTGTGCAAAACTGATCCCATCACATCTGTGAGCAACATGGAGTTGATCTCTGGTTCAACTTTGACCTTTTCTTCCTTCTTGTTGCATCAGAAACTTAAAGTGAATAAAGACGGTTTGAGTGAAACCAGGTTTCAGGTGGACTGAAGTCGTCTTCACTGTGAACTTCATCAACTTTCTGCTTCACAACAAAACCTTTCAAATCCAAACACACATCCAAGCAGCTGAGTCCAAATGATCCACGTTCAAATATTGTTTCTTTTCTCTGCAGGATCTGGTCAGGACGTCTGGATCTCAAGTGGATTTAATGCCACAGATCCAGAGGAAGTTTTACTGTTTGGCTCTGAATCTATAGAGCTGCTATCATGTCTGATTTTAGATCAACTTTTTCACCACGACAGAATAAAATTACAATTTGTCCCATTAACAAGTTTTTAATGAAATTAATGTTTCATGTTTCTACTCAATTTAACTTTTCTAACGAACTTAGAGTATTTTTCTCTCTTTTGTTCCTGCAGATCATCAAACAGATGGACTCTTTACAGATGATCCAGTAAAGAGTCCAAAAATAAAACTGAAAATCTTCAACATTCTGATCGACATCTGGAAAACATTTGAAATAGAAAAGGAAAATGTTCTGAGGTCAGAGGTCATCATCTTGATCCAGAGACTCTTTAGACTCAAACTGCTGCAGCTTCAACCTCTGAGGATTAGCAGGACAACAAAGGTGTCTTCCACCTGCAGAGAGAAGAAGGAAGGAGAGCAGATCAGTGAGTGTTTCCAGCATCTCCAGCAGTCAGTGACGCAGCACATCCAGTAGATGGTTTCCAGGCTGCAGTCAGACTGATCTCAGAGCTGTGACCAAGATGAACCTGATCAGTTGTTTCCTGTTGAACTGAGAGAACAAGCAGGTCTGAGATCAGATCTGCTGCTGTTTGATGAATGAGGACCACTGTCTCTAGACATGTTGGACGGCTGGAGTCCAGCTGGACGTCCTGGAGACATGGACACAGCAACAACACAGCAAGCTGCTGCTCCTCTGATTGGCTGATTGCTGTGTCCAATCAGGAAGCCTGAACCATTCTCCTCCCACTGAGAAGCTGCAGCTTTACTGGGAACACTGGATCTTTGCTTTGATGCTGACTGGGTTTAGTTCAATATGCTGACAGCAGCTGGACTCACTGCAAACATTTACTTACTTTACAGTCTTTACAAGATCCATCAGCTGATGAACATCTGATTCCTCCAGGTTGTTTCCTCTCAGGTTGAGTTCTGTCAGACGGGTCGGGTTGGACTTCAGAGCTGAGGCCAAATAATCACAGCTGATCTGTGACAAACTGCAGCTCCTCAACCTGAATAAAGAATAAAAGATGTGAACCAACAAGATGCAGGTTAACCAGTCCAACAGAACCAGTTAAAGATTCTCATGAATATTAATGCCAACAAGCTGCTGCTCCAATAAAGACCTGCTGACTTCAGAACCAGAACCAGAACCAGAACCTGGTACTGGGTCATGATGTGTTGGAGGATTTTAGTCAATAAAATCATTCCAGGTTCTGATCAAAGTGTTGAAGCATCAATCATTGATTATTGATTTGTTCCTGTCAGATTCCAGGAATTCACTTTTCTAGACTGGATGACCTTTGACCTGCTTGACCTGAGGGGGATTTCTACACACTGGGGTCCGAATGCTGTCCTGTTCTGACCTCAGATCAGCAGGTCCAACTCAGTTACACAGAGAAACTAAATTAAACTCTGGATCCAGGAACAACTCAGAAAATATTGATTAGATCAGAAGAAATGAACTTTGATTTATGATCAATTATATAGAATTATTCACAGAAATATCAATAATTATATCATTACATACAACAATCTCTCCAGTCTGCAGCCTTCAGTCTGTAGAAAACCACAGAGATCCTTCAGTCCAGAACCTTCCGGGTTGGTTCTGAACAGGTCCAGTTCTGTCAGATGGGTCGGGTTGGACTTCAGAGCTGAGAACAGAGACGTCCAGCTGGTCTCTGAGAAACTGCAGTCCCACAATCTGAATAAAGAATAAAAGATGTGAACCAACAGGATGCAGTTAAACCTGAAATATGAACATATCAATAATAAAAATGTATAAATTAATTTCCCTGAATGTAAAGAAACATGATGAACTGATTCTAACATCTGATCCAGTCAAACTGGTTTAAAGAGTCCAAACCAGCAGAACCAGAACATTGATCAACAAAGAAACTCAAAGTTTGTCTCAAAGTTTCTGAGGATCTTAAACTCAGTGGATGTTTTTCTCTCCATGTTTCCTTCCAGGCTCTGGATTCTCCGACTGCTCTGTCCATCATTGATCTGCTGATATTTTATGGCTCCAGTTTTTCTTCATTAATCTATTAATGATTTTCTTGCTGCTTGTATTTGAACTGCAGCTCATTGCTCAGTATGACAGATGGAAACGGGTTGATTTCAATCCTTTTATAATATCATCACATTCTGAAAGTTGATCATTTTGTGCTGATTCAGTCCTGAACCATCAACTAGAAAATATTGATCCTTTTCTCTGTGAGGTCATAGTGGGTCATTTGGTTCTGGTTCTGAATCGTTCATCAGAGACGCTGCAGAAATGGGAATATTATCATAAAGGAACAACCTGATAGTGAAGATGAATCATTTTAAATCTATTTTCCAGTAAAACACATGAGAATGATTTCAGTGAACTGCTGAAGCTTGTTGCATACAAAGCATTACAAAGGTAAGACCTCACTTCCTGTCCTACAAAATAAGAGCTGAATCAAGATGTTTGAACAAAATGACTTTAACAAAGTCAGTATTTCCTGCAGGACTGTTAATGAATCATCTTGATATTATTTATGTCTCCTTAATGTCCAGGATCTCTGCCAGAAGACTGTGGTCATCCTGATAGAGTCTGACTGTCACAACAAACTCAGATTTCCTCTGGAAGCTGCTCTCACTGGTTTAGGACGACTGGCTTTCATTTGCTCCATTAGTGGAATTGACACTAAAATGGAAATTCATCATTGCTTCCATTTTGTTTTGCTTCCTGCAACATCAAACTGCTGCATGTGCTGCAGCTCCATATGAGCAGCAGTCAAGTCCCAGAAAGCTTCCCTGTTTCTAGGAACCGTTTCATCCAGTTAGTCCACTTTCTCTGTCCATCTCTGTCAGACTGTGAACCTTTAGTCTGAGCTTGTGGAGAACCTCTCCTAAACCTGCTGCAGATCCATGTGATGCATCTTTGCTGGTTCTGATTCTGAGAGCAGAAACTCATGTCCTGAAGAATCTGCAGCCTTTTGAGCTCAGAGAAAAACTCAGTGGTCTGGATTTATTCAGATGAAGCTGAAGTTGGTTTCTGATTGAGCTTCTGATTCAGGAAGTGGATAAAGGGCCATTCCACCTAATTATTGACTATCAGCATCTTTAATCTGGTCTAGTTAAAGCACTGCAACACCTGAACTCTTTAAACCTGGACTGGATCATCATCAACTAATAGCAGAAGATTTAAAACTAATGTGGGATTTATGGATCTTCAATAAAGGGAGATTTCATGTTGACCTTTGACCTGCTTGACCTGAGGGGGATTTCTACACTGGGGTCCGAATGCTGTCCTGTTCTGACCTCAGATCAGCAGGTCCAACTCAGTTACACAGAGAAACTAAATTAAACTCTGGATCCAGGAACAAACTCAGAAAATATTGATTAGATCAGAAGAAATGAACTTTGATTTATGATCAATTATATAGAATTATTCACAGAAATCAATAATTATATCATTAAAATACTTCAATGTCTTCAGTCTGCAGCCTTCAGTCTGTAGAAAACCACAGAGATCCTTCAGTCCAGAACCTTCCAGGTTGGGTTCGCTCAGCTCCAGTTCTGTCAGATGGGTCGGGTTGGACTTCAGAGCTGAACAGAGACGTCCAGCTGGTCTCTGATAAACTGCAGTTCTCCAATCTGAAAAAGAATAAAAGATGTGAACCAACAGGATGCAGTTAAAACTGAAATATGAAGAAATAAATAATAAAAATGTATAAATTAATTTCCCTGAATGTAAAAGAAACATGATGAACTGATTCTAACATCTGATCCAGTCAAACTGGTTTAAAGTGTCCAAACCAGCAGAACCAGAACATTTGATCCACAAAGAAACTCAAAGTTTTCTATCAGCCTTGATGAGTGGAGCTATTTCTGCTGGTTCCTGATCATCAGACCCGACTTGGTAACTGGATCAGAACCAGTCAGGTTCTTCATTAATGGCCTTTGGGTTCCTATTAAAGCTGCTGAAAGCCAATGGAGGCCATTATTTCCTCAGGAGACGGTTCCTCTCTGACCCGGCCCAACAGAACCACAGCCTCAGGTCAAAGCTGAGGAACCTGCTGCTGCTGCAAACCTCACTTTCATTCATTGCATCTAGATTTGCTTTTCTACAATCAGTGGTTTCTTAGACGTTCATTAATGAGGATTTGAACTCGTCAGTGTTTGTGGCTCTGGAGGATCAACATTTCATTCTGATGTAAAAATCAGAATAAAAGCATCTGAATCTTTACCAAACTGAAACATCTCCATCATTCATTCACAGCATTTCAATTATTTTACTCATTTTGTTCATCAAAAACATTTTAAAGAGAAAAACTGAAAAACAAAGTTCAATAATGTCAAAGTCTGAAATAAGAAAATAATTAATAGGTCAAAGTTTTAGAGATTTTATTCTGATGATTAACAGGATGTTTTAAAATAATATATATTAAAATTAAATTGATTAACTATTGATTAAAAAATCAATAATGTTTTTATTGAATAAATAGAGAAAACAAACCTCAGAATCTTCACTTTACTGACTGAATTCTCCAGGATCTCAACCAGATGCTTCATATCAGAGTCTCCAGCTTTATTTATGTGGATCCGATTTATTACCAGTTCAGTCAGATCTGGGTTGGACTTCAGAGCCGAGGCCAAAACTTCACATTCAGCGTTTTGGAGCAAACAGTCACCAAGTCTGTGATTAGAGAAGAAATAAATTCAGTTCTAATGAAATCAATCTGGATCATAAACAGACTAAAATATAATAACAGTGATGTCATCATCTGATCATCATCTGATCATCATCTGACCAATATCTACTGAGTTTAACCCCACAGAGAATCTGTGCAGTTCCTGGTTAGAGTCCAGGTTCAGGTTCTGGTTCTGGTCCAGGTACTGGTTCTGGTTCTGGTCCAGGCTTCATGTCCTCAGACCTTCAGCTGCAGTCAGATGTTGAAGATCTTCTATCATCAGTGAAGGAAAGTTCAGTTTCTCTGCAGCAGCTGATGAAGAGGCTGACTGAGCTGAATGAAGGAAACGACTGGAGATGATGGAGAGGAGGAGGAACTGCTCACAGCTCTGACTTGGACTAGACCGTCTAGATCTTCCACCAAGCAGGAAGTGAGTTCTAAATGAAGTGAGCAGAACAGAAGTCCAGCTGCTGTGGACCTCTGGCATCTCTGGGTTTGTTTAGCCAATATCTGCTGCATCATCATGAATAATAGTAATATATTGTATAGAAACATGTTTCCCAGCAGCAGGTTATTAAATGCTGCCACAGAGGAAACTGGGAGCAAAACAAACACATGATGCTCCAGTTCTGTCTCCGTTCATCTGCTGGATTTGATGCGTTAACAAAGTAGAAAGTGGACAGTCTCAACCTGCTGCAGCTAAAAGCTTCACGTTGTTCTGGTCGTCCTGCAGAGCAGCAGCAGAACCGGTCCTGCTGCTCCTTCGGGTCAGAACCGTCCCTCTCAGACTGTGGATCTGAGAGGAACTGGGACAACTGGTTGGAAGAGGGACACATGTCTCTGCAGTGGTCTGTCCATTGTCTCAGAGGAACAAAGGTTTGGATGTCAGGAGAAATTGTTGCTAAACTCCTAAAGAGCTGAAGAGCAAAACCCCTGGAGGAGACGGAGCGTTTGGGTCCAGCAGCATTTCATGGTGAAGCAGTGAAAGTTCTCCAGTCACTAGAAGAGGCTGGATGTCTCCAGAGTTGAAGCTCATGTCTCTGCAGGTCTTCATGGAGGACAGCTAACAGCTTCAACAAAGGCTGCAGATGAAGAGTTGATGAGGAAAATGGTTCCAGCTCTGGAAGCAGATTCTCAGAGCTTTGGGAGGATCTGACAGAAACTAGAACTTTTTCTGGAACCAGACGACAAAAACCACATTTTGGTCTCATTTACAAACTCAGAGGAAACTAGAGGGAGGAGGAAGAGGAGAGGATGATGAAGATCAACACTGTTCACAAAGTTTATAATTATTGCATATATTTAGTTCAATGATTCAAATTTTCATTAAACCTAAAAATCATTTTACAAAACAGTCAAAGATCCTAAAATTTTGAATTATGGAGTAGCGGCTCAATGATCTTCGATCTTCGAGAAAATAGATTTTCTAGAGTTCAGGGTTTTCTATTCATTTCAACCTGAAAACTGATAAAAAGTTAAATTTTTAAAATGATCAAAATGTAAAACCAGAAGCTGCATCTGTCCTGGATGAGCTGAATGTTTAGATGTTTGATTGGCTGAAATAATCCAGAGGATGAAGGAAGTAGATAAAGAGCAAAACCATCCAGAATCAACTTGAAGACAGAAGAAGAAACAGGAGGACAATAGAGCTGAATCAGCATCACACAATGAAACATCTGGACTCACCGAGCCTTTCTGCAGTTCCTCACAGCTGGAACCAGTCTCAGTCGTCCTGATTCTGATGTGTTGTACTTCTCCAGGTCCAACTCATCCAGAACCTCTGACATCTGCAGCATGAAGGCCAGAGCTGAACAGTCAGACTCTGAGAGCTGCTTCCCTGAATCCAGCAGCCGTTGGATCTCCTGATAAAATGAGACATCGTTCATCTCCACCAGACAGTAGAAGATGTTGATGCTTCTGTCAGGAGAGATTCTATCAGTGTTCATCTTCTTCAGGTTGTGATGATTCTCTGGATGGTTTCTGGACTGGTCTCTGTCTGACCCAGCAGATCTTCTAAGACTCTCTGGTTGGACTCCACAGTGAGACCATGAAGGAACGCGACAAACAGGTCCAGGTGGCCATTTTTACTGCGGAGGGATTTCTTCATGACTTTCTTCATGAACTCATCTATAGATGTTTCTCTGTATTTGTCTCCCAGGAACGTCTTGATCTCCTCTGACTTCCTGCTGGTGAAGCAGTGGAGCATGTAGACTGCAGCCAGAAACTCTGGATGCTCAGATGAACAAAGGAGTAGACGGAGATGTTGCGTGTCCCCTCTCTCTTTTAAACATCTCAGTGAACTCCTGAGAACAACGCAGCATCTTGGATGTTGATGCCGCACTGTGTGAGCTCTTTGTCATAGAAGATCAGGTTTCCCTTCAGCAGCTGATCAAAAGCCAGTTTTCCTAGAGACTCAATCAGCTTCCTGTCTCTGGACCCAGATAGATTTGGTCTTTTTTCCTCCATCAAACTTTTCCTCCTTGATTTTCAGTAGAACCAGCAGGAACTCTATGTACATCTCAGTCAGAGTCTTGGGTAGTTTCTCTCGCTCTCTGGTCTTCATCACATCCTCCAGAACTTTAGCAGTGATCCAGCAGAAGACAGGGATGTGACACATGATTTGGAGACTTTTGGATTTCTGGATGTGGGAGATGATCCTGCTGGCCTTCTCTTCATCATCTCTGAATCTCTTCCTGAAGTATTCCTCCTTCTGGGGTCAGTGAACCCTCTGACCTCTGTTACCATGTCAACACAGTGAGCAGGGATCTGATTGGCTGCTGCAGGTCGTGTGGTTATCCAGAGGAGAGCAGAGGGAAGCAGTTCCTTCCTGATGAGGTTTGTCAGCAGAACATCCACTGAGCTGGACTCTGTAACATCAGTCAGGATCAGATTGTTGTTGAAATCCAGATTAAATCGACTTTCATCCAGACCATCAAAGATGAACAGAACCTGGAACGATTCAAAGTTTCTGATTCCTTTGGTTTTAGAAAATAATTTATGAATCAGTTCTAATAAGCTGAACTTTTCTTCTTTCAGTAAATTCAGCTCTCTGAAAGTAAATGGAAATATGAAATCAATGTTCTGGTTGGTTTTATCTTCAGCCCAGTCCAGAGTGAACTTCTGTGTTAACAGTGTTTTCCCAATGCCAGCCACGCCCATGGTCATCACTGTTCTGATTGGTTGATCTCCTCCAGGTGGGACTTTAAAGATGTCTTCTCTTCTGACTGTTTCTTGTTTCCTGAATGCTGTTTCAATGCGTCTGACCTCATGTTCCTGGTTGACCTCTCTAGTTAACCCCTCTGTGATGTAGAGCTCAGTGTAGATCTGGTTCAGATCGGTTTTATTTCCAAGTTCAGCGACGCCTTCAGAGAGACTTTGGAACATCATCTTCAGAGACGCTTTAAGTTCAGGCTGATACAGACCAACAATATCTGAAAAAAGAAAAATAAATAAATAAATAAAAACAATTTGCAATATTTTAACATGTAACTGGACTAATAAAGTGGCCAGTTTGGTTCTTCTTCATAAACTTCTATGAAGGAAACATAATTCAATAATTAGAGAAAACCTATTGAAAGTTATTCCAACATCAGTCTCAGGGCCGGCCCAAGGCAATCTGTTGCTTAGGGCCCCAGGGCCACCAAGGGATCAAGAGGCCCCTTCAGTGGAGCTGATTTTTGTTCTTATTAAATAACGATTTCTATGTCATCACAATAACAAAAACACACAATTTAATCATTTCACCATGTTAATGTGGTCCAGATACATTAAAAGGGTTGAAATCAACCTGCATTGAAGCTTCACAAATCGAAGCTTTCATGGAGCTTGGTTTAGAGAAAAAAAAAACTACAAACTTGGTTTTAGAAATTCTGGCCTGAATAATCTACACATGATTGAAGTCT